ATTTATGGGCGACCCCCTCTTTCTTTCCTTTTTCTTGGAAGGCTTTGGGATCTCTTCTTCACCGGGCGGGGACGGCCGCATAGTAACAGCGTCTCCGAGGCCTGCATAAATATAAAGTAAGTATTTTGCTAAGAAACATAAGTATGCAAACAAGAGAACTCGCCATGGTTTTTAGCCTCCCATCGACCTTTGGCCAGGTCACGCCAATTGCGCTCTGCGTATGAACAAGTAGAGGCCAGTTTTCGGACCCAACCTTCGAGGTCTGGGGCTGCACTAGGAAACCAAGCAACAGCTACACCATCGGAAAGGGATTAGATCCAAAAAAAATGATGAGGTCGAGAAACGGTAGGGAAAGTAGAATATAATGTCACTATCGATAAACCTGTACTTATGTTTCATGTTCCATTCCTCGGGGAATAGAATCCTCTTAGCAAGAATCAGGTCGGAGGTCCTGATTCGGACAAACCAGCTCATCAATCATCGGTCATTGTCCTCATCGATGCTGGAAAAGAGAGATTTCGTGGATCGGCATTACAGCTTTATCAGGACACCTCGATAAAGGCGAGGGCTGTATAGCCTGATCAGATGGTCGAGGGTAAACGGCATCCTCTCGGCCTAGCTCAAGAAGTATCTGATCAGATTGACGATGAGCCAGCATGAAGGGTAGATCTGGCCAAGAGTCACCTGGTATTGTTGGAAAAAATCAAGAATAACTGGATCTATGGGACCCAGAGTTGGATCTGCAAAACCCAGCGTGAAGGGGTAGGTATACACGCTTAAGTACCCTGCCTTATGAGTAGTGATGTCCTCTTCAGGGGAAGGGATCGCCACATCGTTTTGCAGTCCTTTTACACCTGATGGAGCTCACTTTCGATTATCAAGCAGATGTATCAGGACATGGGCTCACATCGGCCTGGTATCAATGCAGGTTTGTCGATTTTGAAATCGGATGTTAGTTCGCACGGTGGGGGAATACACTCCTCGATACGAGGTGGGCACCACCATTCTACTTCTGGCCGACCGTGATGATGAAGAGGCTTTTTCTTCTTGGGAAACAGTTTTAGATTTTTTAACCATTGTGTTTTAGATACTCAAGAGAAGAGAAAAAATTGATGCTGAAGTAAGAACAAATTGAGAAAAGGGTGAACTCAGAGAAGTTGAAGGAGCTAATGAGATTTTAAGGATGATTTGAGAAGTAAAGTTTGCAAAATTATGAAGTTGGCCTATTTATAGAGGCCTCTTAAACGTGTTAGGGAAGCCAAATAGCCGACCGTCAGTCGCCTCTAATTAATGACCTTGAGAACTATGTGGAAGCGGTTTTTCAATCACTTCAGTCGCTTACATCATGAGATTGACATCAGGATCAAGGCGTCGGAGCATCGAAGATCAAATCATTTCTTATAGTCCTACTCTAAGAAACGCGGGGACTATCTGTATATGGTCAAAATCATATGCCTCTGATCTATAGGCTCGAGAGGTCGCATCGAGGACCTAAGTGCTCGAGGAACATCGGAGCCAAGCTCAGGCTCGAAGGTAGAATAAGAGACTCGAAGACCTAAATGCTCGAGGAACATCGGAGCCAAGTACGACTGACTCCGAGACAGTGTCGTTATGAGTTTGTTACCGAAGGACAAGATTCCCGCCACGTCCCCAAGATCATGGCATAAATTCCGGAACAAATTTATACGAATTAGTACAAATCCGTACTAGGCGGTTATACAGCTGTCCTAATAAGATCCCTTACTGTAAATAGAAATGTACCTTATTTAGGGTTCCCCTATTATATAAAGGGGACCCCAATCATTTGTAAGGATCATCTATTCATTTTGGCAATGAATATACTATCCTACTTTTCTCGCTCATTGTTCATCAGAATTGTCTTTTAGCTTTACTGTTTTTGCCTCGTTGTTCTTAACCCACCTCGAGGTCACTGGGCTCGAGGTCGATACTGCTTAAGTAGCACTGGTTTGATTCACTCATTTCTTTCATGTATACTTTATACTTTTTGATTATTAATTGGTTTTGAACTAAATCACCTATCTTTAAAATCACAAATCAAATTTAATTGTTACTCGTATTTTCGAGGTAAACACCCGTAAACTTGAAATCCTAGCTCCGCCTCTGTGTAATATCGTTCTTATGCTATTATACAATAGCATAGTGAGCACATTCCTCACTTTGACATTATGGAGGAAAGACATCATGTCCTTTTCCTTCATGTATTCATCTTTTTGACTGTTATCGTATAAGGTAAACGTTGTCAAATTGTCCATTTATGCCGTATATATTGAGAGAGAAAAAAGACTTAATTTTATTGGTCAAAAATTGTAAAAGCTATTCAGAAATGTCAATTATTTTATGTTTTGGGCAATAAGCAATTAGATTACCATGAATGATAGTTCTTGGTTAGTCTTCTAGCTACTATTAGCCAATGAGACACACCAAAGTTAATATACTAATTAACGAGGCAATATAGACTTCAGTTTTAGCTTATTTTATTTAACTAAGAGGAAATTTTGATCTATCTAATATCCTTCTTACGACATAATTACTGCCACTCATTTTTTACGCAGAATGGTGAGAAACCTATTAGCCAAACAACTAAATGAATACAAAAATAAACAAATAAATAAAAGGAAGCTTTTGCCAAATGATTGTATACGATTGTATCCATTTTATGCACCCTTTAGAAGTACTACATTCTGTATCTCAAAAATTGAATTATTCTCTTTCTCTTTTAGACAAAAATAGTTTCACTGTTTAAAGTAATTTCTAATATAGCAGAATGTTATTGCAAAAAAATATATATATTATAAACAGTTATATTCTTATCTTAAATAATTTATCACTGGAAATGAAAGCAAGAAGCTGGGATGAGATAACATAAAATAAGATCTGGCATTCAAAGTGGTATGGAGGATGTAAGCTTCATATTTAGTTTCAACTATACTACTTTGCAGCGTGAATTGGACGTGGACACTAGCAATAAATGCAACGGTATCTTAAATAGGTCTTCGAAAGATTTTTGAATTATTTTTTACTAAATTTTGGGTATGAAGAAAATAAAACATAAAACGAAAAGACAAATATTAGAGGAAGCCGATTGTGATAAATTTTCAAAGCTAGCAGTAGGAGTGTCAATGTATATCGTTCGGTTCGGCCGGTTATTTTGTAAAATATGTATTATATTAATTTTTTGATTATTTTATTTTATATAACCAAAATTAAACTTTTTGACACCGTCTCAATCATTTTGATTTTTCTTCGATATCGGTGCGGTTCGGTTAATTTTTGATATTTTTAAAAAATGTCATGTAAGAGTTGTTAATAGAAATTAGAACGCAATAAATTATGTACTTACTTAGGACTTCGACAAACTCTCTATATATTTTTACAGTTAAAAAGACGATGCTCAAGGGAATATGAAAGATAGCAAGAATAGAGATTTGTCTCACGATTCTACTACAACTTAAGAGAAATTGAGCAAAGATAAAAGAAATATAGATAACACGAGTTGGAACAGATTAATCAAGATTGGACTCAAGAATAAAGTCTATTAGAAGATTAAGATACAATAAAAAAAAACTTAAATCATACGAAAGGAAAGATATTCAATACATGTCCATTACCTTTACTACTCAAGATCGCTAGAATACTTGTGGCTTGCTACTCAAGATAATAGCTAAAACTGAATTAGTTTCAATAGAAGTAGCAAAATAGGTTTAAGAGTTGAGAATTTGGGCTTTAATTACTTATTGGCTTTTATACGGGTGAAGTTCAAAAATAGCAAGATTTACAAATGGTAATTGAAAATAGTCACAATTTCAAAAGTAATCGAAATTTAGCCACTTTTTATGTAAAGATAAATCTAAACGAAAACATTGTTCAAAATCCAAAAAATATTCCATCATAATACACTGAAGGACCTCCAGTATAATATACTGGAGTTCCAGTATAATATATTGATTCAGTATAATATGCTGGAAGTTCATACATGGGTGCTCCAAACTCTAGTATATTATGCTGGAACTTTTCGTGTGTTGGAGTTCCAGCATAATATGCTGGAAGTTCATACATGGGTGCTCCAAACTCTAGTATATTATGCTGGAACTTTTCGTGTGTTGGAGTTCCAGCATAATATGCTGGAAGTTCATACATGGGTGCTCCAAACTCTAGTATATTATGCTGGAACTTTTCGTGTGTTGGAGTTCCAGCATAATATGCTGGAAGTTCATACACAGGTGCACCAATCTCCAGTATATTATGCTTGGAACTTTCCGCGTTGCAGCAAAATAGTGGTTATTTTTCAATGACTTTGTAAACACTGGCTATTTTTTAATTACCAGTCTAAAAACTGGTTAGCCCGTGTTATTTTCACCTTTTAAACGTTTCCATAATCACAAGGCCCAAGGAATGTCTTGTTATTTTTAAACTTAATATATAAATATATTTTTCTTATATAAAATTGATGGTTTGGTATTTTTTCAATTTATGTTTGTAAAATTAAAAACTTACCCTAATTATTGGTACATTTATAATTTTATATAAAAACTTATAATTTTATTAAAAGAAACCTAATAATCGATTCGGATGAGTCGATTTAATCAATTTTTTAAGGTCTATTGACACCCCTACTAGCAGTTGCGCACTACTTGGATATGAAAAAGCCACGAATCAAATTGACCTGCCATTTACACATCCGGTGGTGCAATACAAACACTGTTACATGAGATTCAACATTAATACGTACACATAATTTTAAAAAATAAAAAATAAAAAAGATTTTTGCCTATACACAGAGTATATATATACATTTTTGGCCAAAAAACAAAAACCAAAATATATATATCCACGCACAAACACAATAAAATATTGACTCATTATAAAAAAAAAAAAAGAAATATTTTGTCACCCAAAAGGTGCTATATAAAGGCAAAGAAGCCTAGCTTCAAGTACAAGCTTTTCCTTCAAATATCACTACTCATAAGAAAGACAGCATTATGGGTTTGAGAGGTAAGTTAATTGCTAAGACAGAGGTCAAATGTGCTGGAGAAATATTTCATGATCACTTCAGCTCCAAACCTCACCATATCCCTAAGATAAGCCCTGATAAAGTACACAATTTTAACATTCATGAAGGTGAATTGGGAACTGTTGGTTCTGTTGTTTCATGGAAAATTACCCTTGGTAAGCCTCTTCAACTATTCTTTCTTTTATCATTCTTATGGTATCAATAATATAATGCATATTATTATTTATTTATTTTAAATGTAGACCATTCCACGATTTGTGCGTGTCATCCTTGCGAAGGGGTCATGCTAATCTTCTCTGTATTGTTCCAATTTCATCAGATGCCCCTATAATGAATAGTTCAATGGTCACATTGGTAGTAACCATGACATAATGATAGCATGCTAGGTACCAATTAAAGACCATAATAGAAATGTATATATAATTTCCTTACAATTAACTTAATTGTGTAAATACTTTTACACAATTGGCCCATAGAACTTATAGATAGTCTCCTTATTTTAAAGCTAGTTAGATAAGGTGGAGTACCACTTTATTATGTTAAAGTGAATATTACTTTAGGATTGTATATCTAAATTAACGAGTCAATGAACTAAAAAAAAGGCAGTCTGGTGTACTAAGCTCTCACTATGTGGGGGTCCGTGGAACAGCTGGACCGCAAGAGTCTATTGTATGCAGTTTTATCCTATATTTCTGCAAGAGGTAGTTTCCACGGCTCGAACCCGTGACCTCCTGGTCACATGGCAGCAACTTTACTAGTTACGCCAAGGCTCCCTTCTAGTTAATTACCGAAGTAAAAGTTAGAAATTTGTTCTGCTTTGTTATAACCTCTTGAATGTTTCCGATGTAGATGGAAAAGAGAGAGTGTTGAAGCAAGTTATTGATGCTATAGACGAAGAAAAACAAAAAATCACCTTCAAGTTTATTGAAGGAGATTTGATGGAATTGTACAAGGCCCTTAGTGCTACTTTGGCTGCTGAAGGGAAGTGGATAGAATGGAGTTTTGAGTATGAGAAGCAGAATGAAGATATCCCAGAGCCTTTCACACTCTTGGGACTTGCCATTGATCTCATCAAGGACATTGATTCACACCATCACAACAAATGATACATCTATGTCATAGCTGTGCCTGCTTTAGTGGTCCAATAAATGAAGTATTTTCCGCTTCACTTTCACGGATCCGTTTTTCATTGTGTAATTTCGTGTGCATTTTCGAATGGTTTATACCTATTTCGAAATTTTATTGAACAATAAAAATATAAATTCTGACTTTGGTTTCTCACTTTTAGTTAGTGGATAATGAATAATTGTGTTCTTAAAAAAAAAGGATAAGACGTAATGGTTTATTCAGTTATTTAATTATGCAACTAGACAACAAAAACGACCATAATACGCGTCATGCTCCAAATTGGGGTGAGACATAATTTGGTACCAACCTATTTTAATATGTCGAGTGAATCCTGCCTAGTTGGCTGAAAGATACTACTGACCTTAACATGTCAAAAAAAAGGTGATAGTCTTCATTTAATAGTGTTTGAAAAGTGAAATTAAGAATCTAAAGCAATAAACTTCTGGGGTAGCCTCTACGAGCTAAAATCTAAATACAGAATCTACGGGGAATTTTTTTGAAAATAACGAAATGTCTGCTAAAATAACGTAAGCTGGATAAAATACTAGTTACCGTTGGAAAGAATCAACGGAGCTCACCAACTGGGTCTATGACTTCAACACCTGCCACACGACGTAGCACACTCTAACAAATGAAGTACCACTAATCGAGTACCCAGTAAGTCTCGTTGAACAACCTTTAATCAGGGACGAGACTAGTTTGAACTAAATAAATATTAAAAAAATACAAGAAAACAACGCTAGCAGTTCATGTATTAAATTCTAAAATTTGAAAGCTGAAATTGAATCTAAAATCTGAGTGACAAGCTAAAATTTAAGTTACCATCTGAATGCATTTAACATAATTTTTTTTACAATCTATGGCCCTACTTATGTGAGATCTAACAACACGTACTGGGAGTGTCTACATATCTCCCACCTCATATAATAGTACCTGCAAGTGTAGGGTAGCAAACTCTGGCCTCCGGTGGTACTCATACTCGGGGAGGTTGACTACTTCTTCCTCTCTGAATGTGATCACACTAAAATGAATATGATCTGATAATCTGAGCAATACAAGCTCATTCTCCCTTAGTGTTTGTAAGGCGTTCTCAAGTGATTTGTGCGATCTTCATGAATTTTTAAATACACCAGAATATCGTCAACAAAAATAATAATAATAATAATAATAATAATAATAATAATAATAATAATAATAATAATAATAATAATAATAATAAAACAATCTAGGAAAAGCTTGAAGACATGGTTCATTAAGTCCATAAATGCAGTTAGTGCGTTGATCAGGCCAAAAGGCATCACCATAAATTCAAAATGATCATGACAGGTACGAAAAGCTATCTTTGATATATCTTGCTCTCTTATCTTAAGCGGGTAATATCATGTCCTTAGGTCAATTGTTGAAAAGAATCTAGCTCTTTGAAGTTGGTCAAATAAGTTGTCAATCCTAGGCAACTGATATTTGATCTTGATGGTCACCTTATTAAGTTGGAGATAATCAATACACATCTGCAAAGATTCATCCTTCTTTCTAACAATTAGGACTGGTGTTATACCCCATTTTAAACTGGTTAAAGTAGGGTATGAGACAATTCCAAATTTGATTAAAGTTAAGGAATTGCCATCTAATTATTTTTTCATGGTAAATTAGGACACCTAAATTATTTAAAGTAATATAATAAAGTATAATTCCGTTAATGATCTACTTAATCTAAAGATTCTAGGCAACGGTTCAATTTTAAAGGGAAGGTTTTAAGGCAACCTTTAAAATACATATTAAATAGTTAAGTGACCGAACTAATTTAATTAACTAAGGCTAAGTATTGTGAAAAATATGATATTTTATAGGTATAGATAAACGAAGTTAGCATTAAAAGACTAAGTCATATGAAGTCTAGAAGAGGTATATATTTTGATAACAAATACTCTCTCCGTTTCAATTCATGTGAACTTGTTTGATTGAGCACGGAGTTTAAGAAAAAATGAAGACTTTTGAAATTTGTGGTCCTAAACAAGTCAAAAAGGGGCCAGAGTATTTGTGTGGTTATAAAACCTTCTCATTAAGGGTAGAATTATAAGTTTAAGCTAAATTGTTACCAAATTTAGAAAAGGGTCATTCATTTTGGAACGGACCAAAAAGGAAATAGGTCCACATAAACTGGAACAGAGGGAATAGGAAATAGTTATTAAACTGACAGAGGGTTAGTTAAAAAATGGTTAAGATAGGCAAAAACATGATTACTTAACTGAGCTCAAAATAGAGTTTAAAACTGATCTAGAAAAATCTTAGATTAAAAGACTATGTACTGTTTTGAAGAAATTGTCGCAACATAAACGATGTCTCAGAGTTGCTTCGAAACATTTTGGATATTAACGGGTTAAAACAAAATGAGACAAATTGCAGTACACTAGGCTTTCAAAAATATAAATATTATCTCAAAAACTTTACTGACAAATAAATGACTAATTTAAGCACCTAAAAGTTAGATTTTTAGGTTAACTAAAGGTCAAGATCCCAAATAAACTTGTCATAGTAATTCTTGGCTGAACAACAATCATGATACAATTAAAAAGAACCTTACTCGCGTAAACAAAACATAAACTAAAGGAAACGTTAGTCACGTAAAACAGCAAAAATGAAATGAAATAGCCAAGAGCGCGCCATGTAAGCACCCCAGAAGATTTATTATCTCCTGTATTTTTTGTTGTATAGAGAAGTAAAAGTTGGACACGAGTAAGGATATGCATGACTCGTTGTTCTTGTGGTAGTGACGTTGAGTCTCAAAGTGAAACCTTTCGGCTTCGGTGTTCATGTGAACGAAAAGAAGGGGAATGTAGAGTTACAAGGAGAATTCGATTCTCAACATAGTATTGCCTATACGTATGGTGTTGGTGATGGGGACCATACCCATTAAAAGAAAAAAATCCAATTTCCATTGCAAATTGTGTAGTGCAAATTGCAGATTGAAATCCAATCTTCTTACTTAATTTGGGTGGCCATCCTTAAGGAGAGCTTCAACTCTCATTTTGATCTCACCAATTTCAGAGGGGAATATATCTGAGAGTAAAAGAGCAGTGTGAGGTATTCACAGGCGGTATAGTCTGTGAGGGAAAATAGAGAGTGCGAGCGGTATTGTAGTGAAGTGGGAATCTCAATAGAGGGTTACTTTTTTTGAGTGTATAATGGTTCCTGGATTATTTATTCGGGACTATAGAGTATAAACTTCCTCATTATAATGGATTACTTTATTCCTCTCGGGCTCGTAATTTTTCCCTTAATCAGAATGGTTTTCCACGTTAAAATCTTTGTGTTCTTGTTGTTCTTTTTATTCTTGTTGATTACCCTATCTCGGTGATAAATTATTATTCCGTTATTATTACCGTGAATGTTATTTCTGTGGGGGGAAGGGTTATTCCCAACAACTGGTATCAGAGCACAGGTTCTGCTTGTTCACAGTATTAGATAGTGATGCCAAGAAGTATGATACCATGAAAGCTAAGGATTTGGCTGACTTGGATGAAAAAGCTTCCAGTGCAATCAGGTTGCACTTATCAGATGATGTGGTAAATAACATCATTGATGAAGATACTGCATGTGGTATTTGGACAAGGTTGGAAAGCCTATAATATGAAGAAGCAACGCCAGGGGCGGATTTATTCCTGCCGAAGCGGTGTCACGCGACACTGCTTCGTCTGAAACTTTTATTATATATATATTAATACTGTACGAAAACGGATAAGTAGGAAAAATGACACCACTTGACAAAAATTGTGTCTTGTTGTATTGGTAATGTGCTTGCTTTTTCTCTAAGAGGTCAAAGGTTCAAACCTCAACTAGGACATTTTTCTTTTCCAAATATTTGAGAGGGCCTTTGTAGTAAAAATTGTGATGAAGTAGAATTGAACACCTTTTCTAACTTAAGACTCAACAAAATCAATAGACTAAGGTTATTTTTTGTCTAAAAGTATGATAATCAAAGTTATACTCCAGTTCTTTTATAAATTTCGACACCGCTTACAAAAATTGCTGCATACGCCCCTAAGCAACGCCCTACATATGGGCGAAGGTACAAATCTTTTTTCACATTTAAATATGTTTAATGGACTAATCACGTAGCTTGCCAACCTCAGGGTAAAGATCGAGGAAGAGGATAAAGCTATCTTTCTCTTGAACTCATTGCCATCTTCGTACGATAATTTGGCAATAATCATCCTACACGGTAAAATCACTATTGAGTTGAAGGACGTCACATCAGCTCTTTTACTCAATGAGAAGATGAGAAAATAACATGAAAATCAAGGACATGCTCTCATCGTAGAAGGTAGAGGCAGGAGTTACCAAAGGAGTTCGAGCAACTATGGTAGATCCGGAGGTCGTGGGAAGTCTAAAAACCGATCCAAATTAAAAGTTAGAAATTGATACTATTGCGATCAACCGGGTCACTTTAAAATAGATCGCGCAAATCTAAAAAGCGACAAAGATGAAAGCAGTGGCCAGAAGAATGACGACAACACAACTGCCATGGGGCAAAACAATAATAATGTTGTTCTCTTTATAAATAAGTTGATACAAAAGAATCTTACCATGCCACACCGGTAAGAGAAAGTTTTTCCAGATATGTAGCAGGTAATTTCGGCACTGTAAGAATGGGTAACATGAGTTACCTAAAGATTGCGGGGATCGGTGACATTTGTATCAAGACAAATGTCGTATGCTCATTGATTCTAAAGGACGTGCGGCATGTACTTGATTTGCAGATGAACTTAATCTCGGGAATAGCTTTGGATCGAGATCGATACGAGAACAATTTTGAAAATCCAAAATGGAGACTCACCGAAGGATCATTGGTGATTGCAAAGGGAGATGCTCGTAGCACATTGTATAGGACAAATGCAGAAATATGTCGTGACTTGAATGCAGCACAAAATGAGATTTCGATAGATTTATGGCAAAAAAGAATGGATATGAGCGAGAAGTG